AAGCCACCCAAAAAATTACGTTTGTTGACAAGTACTGTAGCCGCACTTTCATGATCGAAAGTTGCTGCAGTTTGGGCGGCATTGGCTGCTTCGATATCTAATACATTCGTAGTGGCTGCTTCAGTGGCGGCAGTATTTTCGTCGAGAGTTTCGATAAAAACGACAGGTTTAAAGCTATTCAAAAAATTACGTTTGTTGAAAAGTACTGTAGCCGCATTTTCATGGTCGAAAGTTGCAGCCGTTTGTGCTGAATTGGCTGCTTCGATATCTAATAGATTCGTGGTGGCTGCTTCAGTAGTGGCAACATTTTCGTCGAGAGCTTGAATAAAAACGACAGGTTTAAAGCCACCCAAAAAATTACGTTTGTTGACAAGTACTGTAGCCGCACTTTCATGATCGAAAGTTGCTGCAGTTTGGGCTGCATTGGCCGCCTCGATATCTAATACATTCGTAGTGGCTGCTTCAGTGGTAGCAATATTCTCATCGAGAGTGTTGGCAAAAATAACAGGTTTAAAACCAGTCAAAAAATGACGCGCTTTAATTGGTGTCGCAAAAGTGCTCGATTTGCTGAGTGTTAAGGCAATAGCCAAAAGGACAAATACAGCGTGTGCGAAAATTTTTGCCATTTTAATTATCGATTAATTTTATTTGCAAATTGGTTTAAAAAGTAGATTTTTATTTTTTAAATTGTAAATATGAGTGAGTTAGCAAGAGAGACTATGGACTTGTATAAATAATATACTCAATTATTAATGCATCAAGACTTTTGATTTCATTTGCATCATGCCATTTTTCATCAACGAAGCAGCTCATCATTATGTGTTTCTTGATACTGGATGCTTTGTGATTATTTTTTATATTGTTATGCCAGTTTAGTTTTTGCTAATCTTCAAGGAAAATTCAATTCGACAGTTAATTAATAATTAATAAATTACTAATAATTATTTTATTATACTGTATTTCACTGCATAAATACCATGTAGAAGATTTATTTTTAACAGGCCAATTATTTTCTGCAAATGAACAAGATTCACAGTGCAATTTCTTCAAAAACTTTGCTATGAAATTAATCGCTTTGAAGTTAAGTGTTTAGTTCATAATGCTCATGATTGAAGTAAATGTACTAAATGTCAAAAAAAGGACTGTTTGGTCATGTCTTTATACAGTATATAACAAACGAATTTAAAAATTGTCTAGTGGAGATAAAGATATCGACAAAAAAATAAATTATTCAAATGAAATCATACAAAAACCAGTCATGGCAAAAGAAAAGTGGTTAACATGTGATTTTTTAAGGTTAAATTTAGGATTAGAGTCAGAGTGAAGATTATATAGTAAGCAATATTTTTTTTTAGAGCACAGCAAGCAGTTTCATAGACAAAAAAAGATACAAGCTACTTTAAAAAATAAATGTTTTGAATTTTTTCGTTACATTAATCTTGCGATTCGATTGGTTTACCCTCTTAAAAAAATCACATAATAGCCGCTTTTTTACCATGGCTAAGGTATTAGCAAATTACTCTGAAGGAATATGTACAATCAAACTTTTTCAAAATCGATTCAGATGATTGTTACGGATGAATACAGCCTTCCTCTGCAATCACAACTTTTTCCAGTTCCAGATATTATAAAGCATAAATATATTAATTTCAACCACGAAAAATTGACTTGCGATGAAAAATTAGATTATTTATGGTATATTAACAAAAAGTCTTGGGATTATTCACAAAATTTGTGAAAAACTTAGATGGAAAGCTATACACTAACGCTGAAGATATTTATAGCTTTGGAATGGATTGTGAATGAGATGATATATTATATCTAGCATGACATCTACAGAGAAGTACGACCTATGATACCAAATAATATTTTCGGATGATATAAATTTATTATTGAAAAATGTTGGGTTCCTACTCCAGAAAACAGACCAATTACTAAGAACTTTTCGGCTTTATTCTATCTTTGCATATGATTTGGCGTTGTAACTGAGTACTTTGCATTTTCAGTGCTATAGCTCTTTATATCGATAACAAACACGTATTTAAATTTGTATGTTCCAAATATTAAGTTTAGAAAATGAGAACTACAGCTTTACAATTCCTGGACGCGAACCAATCATAATGATCCATGATCAATCCTATTGCGGACCTTGTCTCATCAATTCCTTGTTTATTAATTTGAATCTTTATATCAGGTGCAGCTTGATAAAGCACTTCTAAAAGATCCTTGTTTGGAACACAATCTAAAAAGATTTTTTTGATGATATCCAAATCGCAGAAAAAACCTCAATGGCGGAATTTCTATCAGCACGTGAGTTAATGATAGTGGTTCGTGTTATAATATTATTAGATTCTGCATTGTCCAGCAGCGTTTCTACCAGCACACCACGCCCTTTTGAAGGATGAGAAAATTAATAAATCTGTAAAACAAGGGCTTAATCTCAGCAGATCATAGCACTAAGGTTACTCTGCTTCTTCTTGCCTTCTCGATATGGCGCTCAAAGCAATTAATGCTAGATTCAGAAATACAGCTTATATTTTCACTAAAATTTATGTATTTAAATACTTTTCATATTTTTTTTATTAAAATAAATTTAAATATTACAAATGGTATTACTACAAATTATAATTACAATTACAGTGATTTTTATATAACTTTATATATTTTTCACATTCTATGATAATTGCATAATCTATCTAATACAAGTCAAAAGTTTTTAATTTTATATATATAAAAAATACATAATGAATTTAGTACAATGAATATTTATCTTTAAGCAATTTTTAATAATGGTTTGTTGATTTAAATTAATGATGAATTAAAAATATTTTTTAATTTTATTGACTTATATATTTGCATGACATATATAATATATATAATTCTTTGATTTGTTGACTTGCATGTTTGCATGATATAATTGATTTTTGTTGACTTGCATATTTGTATGAAGTAATATAATTATAGTCTATATAGACTAAAGATAGCTCCTCAACTAGTTGTGGCTTGCGGTAGCCAATCAGAGAGTTGTGATAGAGTTATGGTAGTCAATCAGAGAATTGTGACAGAGTTGCAGCTAGTTGTAGCTCCTATCACTAATATAGACTATAATTATATTACTTAGTATAGATTATAATTCACCTAAGAATAACATGCATTTTGCTTTTTATAACATATTTAAGTAATATGCATTTTGCTTTTGCCTTGTCAAAGATGAGATAGTTATAGTCTATATATTGGATATTATATAGATTACATTTGTATTATCAATTAAAAATTGCTGAGATATATATTAGTATGATATGCATTTTGTATTTTAGATCATGCTTGAGTGACATGAATTTTACTTTTTATAATATATATCAAGATAACTAATTTTTATTATTAGTCATATATCAAATAATAAATACTAATTTAATAATTATAACTAATTTCTGATATTAGACTATATTAATAAAAAAATATATCAATAATATATTCAGTTATATATTATCATTTGCTAGTCTAATATTATCTATCTATTATTATTGAGTATATTATATTTCTATTATTAGATATACTATCAAATATATATATATATAATTATTATTAATATATATATTATAAATATTATTAAAAAATACAATCAAATATGTATTGTATAATTACTATCATATATATTATATATATGCTATCTAATTATACTATTAATTATTACTATCAAATATATATATTAAGTATATTATATAAATATTATTAATAATGCTATCATATACATACTATTAGACTAAATTATCAAACTATACTATTAGACTATATTATTATTATGATAAATTAGTAAGTGAATTTTTACTTGAATTCACCTTAATGATATAGAATTGGAAGAAACTAAAATAATTAAAGAATGAAGAGAGAAGAATTAGATTATACTTTCAATAATAATAAAGATTTCTAAGGCCTGTGCTAATATTTACAGATATTATTTTAACAAAAGATAAATAAATAAAGAAAAAAGAAAATAAATCAAAAAAATTATAAAGATTAGCTTAGTAAAATCACTAGTAATTAATATAATTCAAGATTTGAAATGATTAAATAATAAACTATTAATCAAAAAAGACTATAACTAATAAAAGGTAAAAACTAAAATATGAAAACTAAATAACTAAACAAAATAAAATGTATGGCTTATTTATAGTAAAAATCTTTTATTCTTAAAATAATATTGAATAAATCAAAAATCAATATAATATTATAATCCAAAAATCCAAAATCAACTTTGTATGGTTAAAGAAATAAAATCAAGTAAAAAAAAAGAGTACTAGTATAATTTGAAAAGAAATCTTGTAAAAAGATTACTATTATTATGATAATAAGCTTTTAAATTATATTTTTC